GCGTATGGATATGTATATATAAACATACATATATATATATGTACATATATATATACATATATATATGCATACATACATGCGTGTATGTTATGCTGCGTGGTTGGAATAGTTTCCAATTCAAAGTACATTCAAAATCTACGTAGCGGCGCACCAGGCTTGCTGGTAGATTGATTTTTTGCATGATTCCATCTTGTAACAGTGGCCGCCTTTACTACGGGTGTGGCTGCAGTGTTGCAGTTTGAACATCTGATGGGTCTGTACGCAGGATTCATGCTTAAGAAGACCCCTGGGTAGTCCGCTTATAAGCAGCAAACATCTGCAAAAAATACTACTTTCTACTCAGTCTGGCTAGATAGTCGGGTGCAAACAGTATCCCAAACTATGCATTAAAACTGCTTTTGAAATATTTCAACTACAGACCGGCACAGAAATACCTCGTAAAGCTTCAGCTCCCTAGCGTAACTGGTTAGCGAAGCTGCTTTTTGTTGCAAATATTTTTAACGTATTTAAACAAGCGAATACCAATGTTCATTTTATGCCTATATGCCCACGCATGTAGAACAAATATTTTCGTAAACTTACAGCGCTTTAATCGTCGTGTTTTCTGAAGTGGAATCTTGCCAACAATATCAATCTCAACTTTGATGTACCTATACATGTAACTTAAGCGTGCTTTAAAACTAAACTGAAATCTTTAGAAAAAACAGAATGTCCCTGTGAACTTTCAGCCTCCTCTTCTACCTGGTTCTCAAGATCGCTCTGTGATCAAAAAATTTGCATGAATTCTTTTAGGCACTCGTACGTGAGACCCGGGTGTATGTCATAGCGCGTTACTTCGACAATCGAAAATTTAGAAACAATTTCAGACTGAACTGCATGAAATCTCCAAATATGCCGTTTGGGCACGCTTAAAAATCATTTTGCAATATGGGCAAGTCCTCGGAGAAATAAATGAGTGGGATGGGCATTCTATTACTGTCACGCATTTCATCGATGTCCAGTGTCCGATGTTTCTTTGGGAAGCCATTCAAACGTGACGCCGTGTTCCGCCTACTGCCTCCACTCCGCCTTCTATTGTTCCAACTGTGTGTCTCAAAACGAGGATCGACACGAATAAATTCCTGGAAGAGGCGGTCTGTTTGCGAATCAATACTGTAATCGCGACGAAGGCAGTCAAATTTCGTTTGGCGAGCAGCTGTGGTGCATGAAAGCCCTGGAACCTGAGACCGCGATGCCACCGGGTTGAAGTAGGCATAAGGCTGCGCTTCGATTGGCTGGCTCGGTCGTGGCTCATTTCTCGACTCGCTGCAGAAAAAATTATAAGGAGTTACAGTCATTTCTTTTTGTTGTGATTGCGCTTGTTTGTTAGCTATTTTCAGGTGAAAATTAGCAGCAAATTTGGTCTTCATACGTATGCTCATAACGCGCATTGCCGTTAAATGATTTTTTTTGCTACTCATAAGCACTAGTGATAGCATGGAACGATGTATTTGCCAATTTTAATGATCTAAGCGACATATATCCAGCTGACCTCTTACTTCTATAATCATTCAGGTCGCTTAGACTATCGCTGTGAACTTTTGAGGTCACTCTGATAAATTTACACTTTCGATGCTCAGCTATACGTTCAGCACATTCTCTAGGGATAGACAAAACTTTTCATTCAAAGCAATGCGATGTACTAAAGTATGATAAAAGCGTAATTTGATTCTCATTAATTTAGCTGGTTGTTTTTATGATGTTTGAACTGATGTCTGAAG